AGTCATGGGGATGTGGCCACGGCATCATGGAGACCTGGCCACGGGGTCACGGGGACGCGGCCATGGCATCATGGGGACCTGGCCACGCATCATGGGGTGACAAGAGAAAAGCCCGACCTTACCAGAGCTTGTGGGCGGCCCCCAGTGGACATGGCCACTTGGCTGGGCCCTCCTGGGGGGTGGGCTCCCACCACGGAGGCACACAGCTCCGCCCACTCCAGACAGGGTTATGCTGAGTTTGTGGGACCATGGGGTCCTCACGAGGGGAGGCAGCCACAGCACCCCCCGCTCCTCTCTTCCAGGAAGCCCTCCTGGGCTCACCTGGGCTCTGACCATAGAACACGGCAGCTCTGGCCAAAGACCGCCAGGCTCCAACGTGGGGTGCACGGCCAGGCCTGCCTCGCACACACCCGCCCGGGCCACTGGGCCTCTGCTCCCTTTCTGTGGATGAGCGGTAACCTCAACCACCCGCCCAGGACAAAGGCCCAGTGTCTAGCTAGCCGCCGAAGCCTCTTGGCGCTCTCCGCTCGGCCACGTCGGCCTCCTTGTGGTCCTCACTCTGCCAGGCATGCCCCCGGCCTCTGTCTTTGCTGCTCCCTCCTCGGGGTGGCAATTTTCCCCCAGATGCCTGCCTGCCTGGCTCACCTCCTCCAGGACTCTGTTCCCACGTCACTGCTACGGCGTGGCATCTTCCCTGGCACCTGCCCCCGGGAGGTCTGCCTGTTCTGACCTGCCTGCTTCTCCGGAGCTCAGGCTGTCTGCTGGAGCAGCCGGAGCAGACACGGGGGCCGACCCTCCAGGCTGGCCCAAGCACACACGTACCATGGTGTTTTCGAGACGTGTCCTGTCCCAAAGGACAGTTCTAGAACTCCCTCCTGGCCACTCTTTCCCCCCTTCCCTAACTTCCCTGACATCGAGTCCTTTTCGGACCAGGAGGAAAGGGCCTCCCTGCACCTGCTTGACCCCGGCCAGCCTCCGGATGCCGGGGCACCAGCATGACGAGGCCTCTCACGTGCCCGCTGCGCGGGCTGTAGCTGAGGATGTCCTGTAAATGCCACGTGGGGTCTCCACGCCCCTCGCGGCTGCCGCTTGCACAGGTTACTGCGAGCGCGGGCTTCAGCATCTCCTGGCCGAGGTTTGAGTCACAGGTTGAACGGCCTGTGACTTCCTAGGGCGCAGCCTAGAGCCAGCCACCTACCCTCTGGAGCCCTCAGCGTCCACATCTGCCCAGGGAACCCGCCTCACCGGCCGCCCAAGGTCATGAGGCTGGGAGGCGACGGAGTGGGGCTTCAGGGTCTGGAACCTGGAGGCTGGGTGGCCCTACCTCGCTGGAGTCCTCCTGCTGGTTGATGACAGTCAGGGCGTCTTCTGAGGCCTGCCGCCGGGCCTCTGCCAGGGCCCTCTCCATCTTGGCGCGCTCTGTGCTGATGAGCTCGTGGGCCTTTCGCTCCGCGTCCGACACCGCCTTTTGCAGCTCCGACATCGCCTGCCGCTTCACCTCATTCACAGCCTCTTCTGCAAAGGAGGTGCAGGCCGTGGTCACGTGGCCCGGCCCAACTGCTCCCCGAGGCCTCGTGCTGTGGGCGGGGCCTGTGCCCCAGCGACGGGGCAGGCGAGCGCAGGCGTGGTCGTGGGGGCGTCTCCCAGGCCTGAATCTATCCCGTCGTTCCAAACCTCAGGGTGCGGTGGTACCGCCCTGGAGGGCAGGGGCCGAGCCCACCCGTGACCTGGATCCAACGGGCTTGGGGAAGGCCCGAGAACCTGTGTTCCTAACGGGTTCCCAGCCATGCTGATGCCGGGTCTCGGCACCCACTTTGAGAACCACAGCTGTACCTCTGCCCCACCAACAGTCGGCTTCCCCTGTGGCCCATCTAGAAGCAGTCTGGGGGGGTACCCCGTCTAGGCCTCTGCATCGTTGTCACTCCCAAAGCCCTCTGTCACCACCCCCGCTCGCCGCCTGCGGCCTGCTCACGTCCGCAGAGAAGCCTGCTGTTCAGAGCTGAGCCAGAGCACCTGTTTGGATTACACTGTGCTCCCCAACCCTGGGAACCACTCACAGCTGCTCACGCCTGCCTCAGTTTACCTGGCAGTGCCTCTCACGCCTGCCTCAGTTTACCGGCAGTGCCCTTCTTGCAGCAGTGTGGGGAGGGTGGGGTGGGATTAGCGGGGCTCCCCTGTGCACACTCGTTGTGGTGAGCTGCCGGCCCCCGGGTCACCAGACGGAGGCAGAGGGGACAGCCCGGGGGAAGTGAGGACCCCACCCTCCCGTCCAGGCCTGTGCCCTGCCCTGCCTTGCTCCGGGCAGCTGCTGCCTGTCTGTGGCCCTACAGCCTCCAGTTCTGGGTGGGGACGCTCCGCTTGCCTTGTGTTCCAGACCCTGAGACTTTCTCCCTCGTCCTGATAGTTCACGGTGAATCCATCCACTAATCAAAACGTATGGGGGGGGGGGCGTGCGCTCCTCTCCACTGCCACCACCTCCGCTGAGCTCCCCCCTTCTTTCTCAAGCTGGCCACTGGCTCCCAAAGTCTGTCCCCACGAGGCGATGTGCTCAGCGCCATGGCCACAGGCACTCCCTCGGCACCTCTCACGTGTGTGTGTGTGTGTGCACATGTGTGCGAGCAGAACCCAGGGACCCGTGCTATTCTGCCACGCGGCTTGCTCGCTCGCCTGCAGGTGGAGGGTGGACAGGTGTCCTACCCGGAATACTAAATGCACTCCACCCCCTCCCGCAGGGTCGGACCCCACTCCCCAGGCCGACCCCACTCACCAGCCTTCCTCCAGATCTCCTCGGGCATGTAGCCAGAGAGGGTCCTGGGCATGAACTCCCGGTGGGCGTCTGAAACACAGGGGGTGCCAGCATCACGCACAGAACGGGGCCACGCCCAGCTGGGTAAGGGGGGCCTGGTGTGTGTCCTTGGGGGGGGTCCCCAAGGTGCCCGTGGCCGGAAACCCTGTATCAGTTGCTGGTGTGGGGCAGGGCTATGCCGGGATGGAGGTGCCCTGAGCTGAAGCGGCTTGGGTCCAGGTGGACCTGGGCCTTCTTGGATCTGTCTTGGTTTCCGTGGTCGTCATCCACAGAGCGACTGGAGACCCTTGGGGGCCCCTGGCTGCTGGCACCCTGAGTCTAGGCTTCCCACGAGTCAGGCAGCATCTTTATGCAGAGCACAAAGAGCACGTCCTTTTGCAGGGAAACTCCCGGGCTGTACTTTACTGCAGCGACTGACAGAATGGGGGTGCTGGCCTCGGTCTTCGGCGCCCCTGCAGCGCACCCCCCCGGTCTCCCTGACACCCGCTCAGCACGCACCTAGCTGAGACCCCTCTGCACCCACGGAACTGTTGAGGGGCCGGGCAGCGGCAGGCACGGGGCCCTTCTTGGGGTCCTCGGTGTCGCTGTAGCGCCGGATCCAGTGGTTGATCTCCTCGCGGTCGGCCTCTTGGCACTGACGCAGCACGGTGAGCGACCGTCGAGTCTTCTCAGCCATGTCCATGATGCAGTTCAGCAGCTGCGGGCGGGCGGTGGCCGTGAGCACGCAGGCTGGGCGTGGCCGCTCAGGGTGGGCGACGGCCAGGGACCTTTCGCACCCCGGGCCTGGGCCAGCCCACTGTCCGCGAGGGCTGGCCACAGCGAGCTCCCGGCAACAGTGCGAAAATCTGCCTCCACTGCCTGGAAAGGCACCAAGCACGGAGGGGGGGTGGGAGGGAAGACCAGGCTCTCGGGGAGGTCTGTTCCAACACAGGGGCTGGGGGCTCTCCGTTCAACCGTCAGGGCTGTGCTCTGCCCTGGGGACCACACCTGCCTGGGCTCCCTCCCCACGAAGGCAGCAGGGGAGAGATGACCCCGAAAGCGATGTTGAAGGGGTCCCAACGCCAGGCCAAAGCCCCTCTCTCCCAGAGACAGAGCTGCTCTGCTGGGGCAGAGAAGGGATGGTTCTGAGGGGCTGCCCAGAGCGGAGGGCGGGCTGAGGCAGGCAGGCGCAGGCCGAAGCCAAGCCGGCACTGAGCCTGCCACCCCCCACCCCCGCCCCCGCAGCACCGGAGTCCCGCGGGCTGGGCGGAACCCCGGGAGTAGGGGTGGTACCGTGGCCTCGGGCCTGGACACTCACGTTGTTCAGGTGCTTCCACTCCTCTGCCCACTCCCGCTCCGTGAGGCGGTGGTCGATCACTTCCTCCTGCCGGGACCCGTGTACCGCTGTAGGGTGGTGTGGACACTCAGGCCCTGCTCCTTGTCCCAGGCCCCAGGATCTTCTCTCCATCCCTCAGGCTCCGCCCTGTGCCCCAGGCTCCGCCCTGTGCCCCAGGCCCCTCCCATGCCCCCTGGCTCCGTCCACGTCCCCCAGGCTCCTCCCTGTGCCCCAGGCCCCGCCCATGTCCTCCAGGCTCCACCCTGTGCCCTAGCTTGCTTGTACCCTCCCCCCCCGGCTCCGCCCCATGCCCCTCCCCTGTCCTCCAGGCCCCAACCTGTGCCCACCAGGTACAGCTCCTTGCTCCCCAGGCCACCCCACTCATCCCAGGCACTGCCCTGGGCCCGCTAGGTCATGCGTCGTGCTCCCCAGGCCCAGTGCATGGGCTTTGCCCACCTCAGGAAAGTGGAGAGGGGGAGGAAGGGGGCCCTGGGCACTGACCCTCTGTCCACTGCCTTTAGGGGGAGGTCAAGAACAGGTCTGGCCTCTAGTCCATGCTTGGGAGGAAGAGACGGGTTCCCATCCCTCAGTCTAGGCCTGGCCACCCCTCCCCCACCTCCCTGCATCCAAATCCAGCATCATTCGGTTTTCCTGCCCCTGCTGCCCATGGTAGCTGCCCCAGGCTTCACTTCGATGGCCTTGCCACTTCTCAGAAGCCCCCAGGCGCTCACTAGTGGCTCACAGCTCATGCTGTACCCGTTCCTCTCAGCCAGCTGGACTTCTATACATCCCTCGAAGCCCAGGTCCCAGGCCCTCTCCTCAGCAACCCTGAGCCCTTCAGAATTCATTCAGCCCCACGCATATCCGCTTGTCAAACAATCCTGGCGGCTTCCTTGTTTATTCTTAGTCCCCCCAGCTGGCTGTGTCAGTCCCCAGGGCAGGGCTGCTGTGTCTCCTGGGCCGAGCTCCAGCTGGGCAAGAGGCTTGCTCTGGTTCAGCGGCTGGGTCCAAGTGTGGTCCGCTGGGAGGCAGTGGGGTCTGGGAAACCAGAAGCCCCAACACTCGTTCCCCAGGGGACCCCAGGCCCCTCCCCTCACCACTCTGTGCCTCAGTTTCCCTGCCCTGCCTGCCTCCTGGGGCCGTGAGAAGGCTTTCAGGAAATGCCCAGGAGGGGAGGGCCCCAGGTACCCAGCAGGGCTCTGTGCCAAGCGCATCACCCCTTGTCGGCCTCCAGGGGGAGTTCTGTGGTCATTCCCATCCTACAGATGAGAACACCGAGGCTGCTCAGGGGATGTGTTTGCTCAAGGTCACCCAAGGTCAGTCCAAGCCATAACAGTGCCCTCAGCTGCTGGCTAGTACAGCTCCAGAGACTGAAACAATGGGGTGCCCTCCCCGCCAAGCCCGGTGACGACAAAGAAAACAACTCGGAACTGAGAAGTTCACGCCAAGGCAACAGTGTCTGATCGTCCTCACGTGATTTTTTTTGACACATCAAATGCTCTCAGCCCCACGCTGGTGGTGCCTCAAGCCTATGCTGGGTGGCCCGGGGCTGACCAGGGCTTCCTGGGCTGAGGTCTCTCTATTTAAGCCTTTTCCAGGCCCTGGCGGTCTCCTAGCCCCCCAGACATGCCGGGCCACCTCGCGCTGCAGGAGGAGTGAGAGGCAGCGGCCACGGCCACCGTCCGCCACCCTGCCCCGCCACCCGCGGACCCCGGGGCCTGCGCCAACGCCCCAACCAAAATAGTGGCTGAGATCTGCCTGACAGCTGGCGTTTATTTTTGCATTAGCAGAAGCGGGTGGGAATTAGCACCTGCCCGACCCGGCCGCAGGGAGCCAGACGCTGTCACCTGCTGCCTGGGCCCAGGCCCTGGACGCTTCCGCGGGGTGGGGGCGGGGAGACGGCCTTGTACAGGGCAAGGCCTCTGCTGACCCTGCCTCTGGGCCCCCACGGGTGCCCTGGGGCTCTCAGGAGCGGCTGTTTCCAGCCTCCTACCCGCCCCCCCACCCCCCGCCCCCACCGGGAGCCCCTTGGCTGTGGGCCGGTCCCATTCATCTGAGTCCCCAGCACAGAGGAGGGTCAGAAGATCAGACAGGCGCGGCTAGAAGGCTCTGGGCACGTGAATTATGCTCTCTGGGCCTCCTCATCTGTGCTCCGGGCCTGTGGATGCGTCACACACACAAGCAGCAGGGTGTGCTGCCTCCTGTAATGGATGAAGAGTACGACGCAGGCACAGGTCGCAGGACTGGCCTCACTCCCAGGCCTCACCGTGCCAGGCCCTGTGGCGAGTCCCTCCGACCCTGCAGTGCAGACTCCCACTGGATCAGCTGACAGAGGAAGGGACTGAGGCAGAGGACACAGGACCCAGCGGGGACGCACAGCGGGGACCCGGTGGAGGTCCGATCCCTCTGTCCCCTGACAGCCCGGCTCCCACATCTCCTTCCTCCAGGCACAGCTCACCCACCGTGACGGGGCACTCACACTTGGCGTCGTCAGGCTCGTCGGCACCCTGCTCGGACGGCAGGGTGGGGTGTGTGCGGTCGGTGGTGCTCAACGAGGGCTCACGAGTCTTTGTGCTTTCCCTGGGGTGCCCCGGAGGCCGGAGCCGCAGTGCCCGTGACTTGGGAGACTCCCCACGTGCCCGCCCTACCTCACAGCGGTCTCTTCCCGGCTGGCCGCGCCGGGCCCCGCTGCACCCCGAGAGCCCGCGTGCCCCCTGGCTCTGTACCTGCGCCTCCTCTGGGCGACAGAGGCCCCCCCCCCGCCCCCCCGCCACGGCCCTGAGGGTGGGGGACGTCAGACCCCGTGACAGAGGTCAGGGAAGGATGGCCCTCCCTAAGGGTCACAGCCCAGACAGGGTGGGGTTTCCCTCTGGGCCCCAGGGCCCCCACCCCATCAAATCTTTTCTCCACACCCGTTTCCTCAGCATCCTTCCTGGACAGACAAGGTCAGGATGTCAGCGAGCCTCCCCCACGCTGCCGCGCACATCACAGCCCTCTGCTCCCCCAGCCACACGCAGGCGCGAGTGTGGAAGCACACACGTGTGCCCCCCAGCACTGCTCACCAAGCTGCCGATGGCGCTCCCGCAGCTCCCGGGGCTCGTGATGGCGGTAGGGGTCACGGAAGTGGTGGGCCATGGCCATGTCCTCCAGACGGTAGTGCGGCGGCGGCGGCGGCGTGGGCTGGGGCGGCCCGTGGCTGGGGCTGTAGCGCTGGGCGGGGCTCAGGGTGCACGGCCGTTTGCTGACGTGGTCGGGGTGCAGCGGGTCACGGTCTGACCCATTCTCTTTGGTCCTGACCGGAAGAGCGGGCGGGGGCGGGGGGTCACGGACCATGAGCCGTGGACAACAGCCCAGGCCAGAGGGGTGAGAGGGAGACAGGCGTGGGCACAGAGAGAGCCTTGCCCAGCCCCTGCCCCTGCTGTCCCTCCTCTGGGTCTTGTTTCAAACTCCACTCCCCCTGCCCCCCCCCACCCCACCTCCGCTGGTGGGTGGCCTCCTGGGGCCAGGGGTCAAGAACCCGCGCCCGTGTTGGGGAGCAAGGACGTGGACGGGCACGCTCCGGCAGGTCTGTGACTGGCACCGAGGACCAGTCCTGGGGACACTCGGCTCCACATCCGGCCCGAAAGGAGGAGCCAGGCAATTTGTGCCACACGAACTGCCTCCTGCCCCCTTCCCGGTCCTCCCAGGGGGCCATCTGAGTCCTCGGGGTGCCTCGTCCCAGCCCTGTGCGGTGGCCTGGCAGGTGACGCTCAGCGGTCTCAGCCACTAGCCACGGGCCACGGAACACAGCAGTGTCAGCCCGTGTTCGGTCGGCCCTGCTGCTGGGTGCCCGCTGAGCTGGGGGACCAGAGGCAGCTCTGGAGAGGCAGCTCCCCTGACCCCGACCTCCCTCCTGGCCACAGGATGCCGCGTCCCCCCCCCCTCCCCCTCCGCATGTACCGGTCAGGCGTCCTTCTCTTGCCGTTCTCGTTGACCTCCAGAAGGAGCTCCGAGGAGTCGATGGGGGAGGAGGCGTTGGCGTCGAGCAGGAGCTGCTCATGCTGGGCCAGGTACTGGGCAGGGGTCTGCTTGGCCAGGCGGGCACAGTGCAGGAGCTCCCTCTGCAGCAGGGGAAGGTTAGCCTGCAGGGGGAGAGGCGGCCGCACTCGCTGCTGACCGAGGCCGAGGCGGCAGTGTGCTCCAGTGCCAGGCGGGGAGGCCGACGGCCAGCCGCACCTGGTGCCCTCGGGCGAGTTGCAAGACCTCTCTGAGCCTTGTGTTCCCCCACTGCTGTCTGGGAACGTGGGTGGGACTGCGCCCCAAAGCACACAGTGATCCGAGGTGCGGTGGCACCCCAAGCCCAGACCCTGGACCCCGGGCTGGGTTTTCTCCCCTTCCCCCAGCTTCCTCCCCCAGCGGCATCTGCAGAGGGCAAGGAGGGGCTCCTAAGCAGGATTCCTTGCCTTCTCCCGTGGAAGCAGGCACCCAATTACCCACGGCGCGGAGGGAAAGCCGAGGCTGAGAGAGGAAGAGGGCAGCCCCCACAGCTCACTCTGAAGGCAGGGGCCCCTAGGGGCGCCTGGGTGGCGCAGTCGGTTGAGCGTCCGACTTCAGCCAGGTCACGATCTCGCGAGATCTCGCGTGATCTCGCGTGAGTTCGAGCCCCGCGTCGGGCTCTGGGCTGACGGCTCGGAGCCCGTAGCCTGCTTCCGATTCTGTGTCTCCCTCTTTCTCTGACCCACCCCCGTTCATGCTCTGTCTCTCTCTGTTTCAAAAATGAATAAACTTAAAAAAGATTAAAAAAATAAATAAATAAATAAAGGCAGGGGCCCCTGCTCTCCCCGCCCCTGTGGGCTCCCGGCCCCGCCTCGAGCAGTGTGGAACCCAGACCATGCACACGAGCAGTCACAGGTGTCACCTCCCACGGTCCTGCCAACCACGGGTGGACAGACACGACAACGCGGTGCCACGTTTACGGGGAAGGACGATAGGGCACAGGAGAACGACAGTCCAGGGTGGGGCCCCACGCCCCCGCCACCCCCACGCGTGTGCTGGGCGCAGGCGGCCCCTTCCCCACAGGGCTGTGGGGGGCGGGGGCGGCGGGTGGGGCTGGACGGGGGCCCAGCGGCAGGCTGCTTGGGAGAGCCAGAAGTTCCAAGTATTTGTAAATAGATCCAACTCCCCGACTTTCTCCTGCATTTCCGACCCGCCACGGCTTCTCCCGCCTCTGCCTCCCCGGCCCCGTCAGCGCATCGGCCCGGACCCGATCAAGCAGCCGGCTGCTGGGCCTGTTTTTCTATTTGGATAGCTGAACGGGGGCCAGCCCGCCATCTGTCGAACACGTTAGGAGCGTGAGCTGGGAAAGGAGGTCCCGGGAGGTCTGAAGACGCCAAACATCCTCCCCTCCCTTGCCAGCAACCCCCCCCCCCCGCCACCTGACCGGCCTCCCCTTGGCTGGCTCAGCAGGGTGGGGACCGCACGGGCACCGGCTGCTCGCTGTGAGGGCAGTGGAAACATCTGGACTCCTGGCTGGCCGGGGCCAGCTGGGAGCCTGGGGTTGCGGGCGGAGGGCCGGCAGGGCGGGGCAGCACCCCCCACCTCTGCAGAGCCCCGCCGTGTAGCCACGCACGGTGTCGGGCTGAGCAGAGGGTTCCGGGGTCTTGGGTCCTTGGTGGGGGTGGGGGGAGGGGAACCCCAGGCCAGAAGCAACCGGTGCAGGCTGTGGAGCCCCTGGTCTCAGAGACGCTGGGGGAGGAGTCCCCATTCCGTTCCCGGGGCCCGGGGTGCAAGGGGAGGCCTCTACGCCAAGACCCGGGCAGACCTGGTCACAGAAGCCCTGTGGACACGGACCCTGAACTACCTTGTCCACAGACGGGAACCCAGGCCAAAGGGAAATCGGTGTGGCCGGGGGTCCGCTGAGCCGATGACTCCCCGGTAACGAAGGGTTAGGGTTCGTCCCCTGCTTTGCCAAACCCGTCATCTGATGTCCACACAGCCCGCGCGCTGTGGGCCCGGCGGCCAGCCCACACGGGCTCTGTTGGGTGACTCTGGGCAGGTCACTTAACTTCCTGCCTGTGCAGGCTGCCGCTCCTCCTGCCCCGGGGGGTGACGGCTCCCGTGAGCTTCATATGAATCGACTCGCACACTCCCGCCCCCGTGAGGGGTCACCGCGCCGCTGGCAACGTGGGAGAGGCTGAGCACCCAAACCCAGAGCGGGTCACACCGCCTGCCTCTCCTGCGGGCCGCGGTTCCGAGGGCCCCTGTAAGGCGGGCCGTGGATCCCCGCGAAGGTGCAGCCCCCCGCCGGCCCAGGCCACAGACAGGAGACCAAGCTGGCACGGCGGCGGGGCAGGGGGCATCCCGCCACGCTCCCCGGCAGCGTTGTGATCTCACGTGGCCGGGGCTCCTGGGATGAGCGGGGTGGGGGCTGCTCCCCAGGCAGGGCCTCAGGGCCAGGCTCCGGCCAGCACCTGGTCACGGAGCCCTGCACACAGAGCTGGCTGCACCCAGATGCTCCATGTTAGGCGGATGGACTGTGTGTCCTTGTCCAACAGTCTGTTGGCCCAGCGCCCCCGGGTGGGGTCACAGGCACGGAGCGTGGCTGGCAGCCCCCACGGCCCAGCTGGCCCCGATGACCGCGAGAGCAATCTAGGCACGAAGGCCCCAGGAGCCCGCTGGGACCACTGTGGGCAGAGGGGAGATCCTGCGTGCAGGGCGAGGCCTGGGCGTGTCCCCAGGACGCCGGGGGGGAGGGAGGTGCAGCGGGCAGGGGTTTGCAGCCCCACTGGGGCGGGAGCAGGGGACACCGGATGTTTCCCTGCCCCGCTCCTCCAATAAACAAGGACAGCTGAGCGGGCAGGGACATCTGCTGTAAATATTTGATCTGACGGGAGAAGCAGGCGCACTGTGTCCCCAAAGATGGGGAGCCTGGAGTCAGCAGTAAGTGGGAGGAGGCAGGGAGGCGGGGGCAGGGCTCCCGGCGGATTGCGAATGACTGCCAGATGGGCCTAAGGGGCTCTGCTGCTGTCCCAGCAGGGTGTGGGCGGGAGGGCAGGAAGGAGGGGGGAGGAGGTGACGGATGTGGGGCCAGACCAAGGGTCCCCTTGACCAGGGACTGCGGGGAATGAGGTGCCAGCCCGGGGCAGGCCGTGCAAAGGCCAGGGGTCTGGAGCCTGACGGATCCAGATTCCGGCCCGTCCTCCCTCTCTTCCGACGGGAAGCCGTTCACCGGGACTGGGACGGCGGCAGCTCCCCAGGAGCCACCCACCTCACGGGGCGGCCGTGGGGTCCGCAGGGCCGGCCGTGGAACAGCTTTGCAAAGCACGCCCCGTCTGCAGAGCGTTTGAAAGCCCCCGACATGACGCCTGACGCGGAGCGAGCACGTGCCACGCTCTTCATGCACGTCGCTTCGTGCACCCTTCCCAGTGGCCCGGGGATGATCTCCAGCGCAGCAGAAGCTGAGTCGGCGCGGGGGCGGGCCCCTTAAGCTTGGCCCAGGCCCACAGGGGCTTAGGTCAGGGCTCCAATCCAGGAGCACCTGGTCTAGTCTGTCCTCCACACCCTCTGGAAGGCAGCCCCAAACCAGGGCCCGGCCACACAGCTGAGCAGGGCCCCCGGCTGGAGGGGCCACGGCAGGCCTGGGGAAACGGCACGTCCCGAAGTGAGCTCTGTGGCACCCTGATCACCGGAGGTGCACGGGGTAACGGGTCGCATGGTCAAACCCATCTGGGAAGCATTTCACCTTCGCTCTTTGGGGGGTTCGTGATCCTCACCGTGGAGTAGAGGCCCTGAGAAGTACGGCAACGGAGCAGCCGGCCCAGTGGGGTTTAGAACTAGGCGTGTCCCGTTTCTGCGTGCACGTGCCTCACCCAGCACCTTGTCAAGATGCGGGTTCTGATTCAGGGGCTCCGGGCCGGGGCCCAGGAACCTGCCCTGCTCACAAGCAATGTTTCTGGCCCAACACCATCTCTTCCCCGGTCCACCGTTTAGCTCCTGAGACTGACCACAGGACCCTTGTTTATCTGACACCCATTCATCCTCGCCACCCCCCACGCCTCCATCTGCGCTCGGTCCCTCTCCCTCACTCTGTTCCAGCCACGGCCTGCTCCCTGATGCTCACGAGGGTCTGCGCCCCGCTCACCCACGGCTTCCCCACCTCGTCCCCCTCAGCCTGCACCAGAACCGCCGCCCCCCCCCCCCAGATCTGTACCAGCGTCGGCTGCTGGACTTTCCTCCCACCAGCACATCGGTTCCAGAACTCTGCCTGCTTTGCTCGCCATCGTGTCCCCAGGCCTCACGCAGCACGTGGCACCTCGGAGGTGCTCAAAACAGAGCTGTCGAGCGGATGAGTGCACGTGACGCGACGCGGGGCTGGTCTGGTGAGCTCTTAGAGCCCTGGGTCTGGCAGCCGCTCCTCCGACCCGGCAGCTGGTTTGCGGCCTTAACTAGTAGGAACCGGCCCTGGCCGGTCCGCGCGGTTCCCGTGGGGTACCCGCCAGGGTCCCGTGTGGGCAGAGGGTGGTGCCCTATCAGAGTGGGGCAGGGAACAGATCTGGGACCCCGTGGCGGGCCCAGGGACCGGCCTGTGCTCACCTTTAGGAAGGGGACGACGAACGGACGCAGAGGGAAGTTGGTGGCCTCTTGGAGCTTGGAATGGAACTCTTCGATGGTCAGCGTGGAGTTCTGAGGGAGGAGACAACCTCACGTCGGCCTGAGCCCCGTGGCCGGCCCGGGGCGGGGGGTGGGCCCGCACCCCTCTGCCGCGCCCTCGCCACCCCCCACCCCCGACTCACCACGAGCCCCAGCACCAGCGTGCGCACGCGCTCCCCGATCTCCGGGGAGATGTCACTGCCGAACTGCTGCAGGGTGGTGAGGAAGCGTTTCAGCTTGCTGAGCTGCCGCGCCCCGCAGGCCGGGGGCAGGTGCTGCGTGGACAGGGAGGCGGTGGACGAGGTGGCCGGGCCATTGCTGAAGCCACTGGGTGTGGACGGCGCACCGTTGACGGCCGTCGGCGAGTGGGTGCCGTTCATTACTGCGGGAAGGAGAGGCGGGCTGAGGATGGCAGCAGAGGGCGGCCGGGTGCTGGAGCCACACCGGTGCCACGGGGGGCACCGGACACCCTGTACAGGTGTGCACACGGGGCCCCGGGTCAGCGGCTGGGGGGCTGGGCCGGAGCATGGCCACGAGGCAGGCGTGGCCTTGGCTCAGCACCACCTCTGGCTTCACTCTGGGGTGGGGACACCACCCCAGGACCCCTGTGCTGCCCGGCCCGTGTCCACTGTGAACCGGCAGAGGGGCTTCTCCACCGCTAGGGACCTGCTGGCCCCTTCCCCTTTTCCCCTGGAAGGCGGGGGCCCTCACCTTCACCACGACGGGCCCGAGCGGCGCCCCACTGCCTACATGAGGCCTCCGTGCCTGGGCTGATAGGGCTTGGGGTGAACCCCTGGGACACGGGGGTTGGATCCCAGCAGGGGACGCTCTCGGCTGGCTGCTGTGTGGGGCTGCTGCACGCACGGGGCCGTGTGTGTGGAAGACGAGCAGGTGACATGAGCCCCCCCTCCCCCCACCGTGATGAGCACCCTGCAGGGGTCACCGGAGCAGGACTGTCGGTCACCAGTACCCTGACACAGGGGTCAGCATCCCACCACCCACAATGTCCTGGGACAAGACGTCCCTCCTCAGTTTCAAGTGACGGAGGGAAAGGCTGAGCCCGCACCCAGTCCCCCGGCCTCAGGAGCCCGAGCCTCGCTGACCAGAGAGGTCACAGACAGTGGGCCGCCAGGGCCCTGGTGACAGCGGAGGGGGCTCTGGATGCGGGAAGCGGTGCTGGCACTTCTGGGAGCCCCGAGGCTTATCTGATCAACCCGGAGACCTCTCAGCCAGCTGCCCAGACACCTGCTCCAGGTACCTCCCCAAGTTCACACACGGAGCCCCTCCCTGCACGCTCGCCGGCCTGCCCCCTCTGCACGTGCATGCACGCCCCACGTGATGGTCTGAACCCCCCTCCTCACACATGCCTTCCATCCCCCACCGCCGCTCCCTGCCTCAGCATCCCTGCACACGCTCCCATGCACACACAGGGCATACACACATGAACACACACGTGCACCACACACACGCATGTACTCTCAGACACATGCATACACACAGACGAACATTCACACACGAGCACAGATGTACATGCACATTTGCACACGCACATTCACACATGCACGTTCGTGCACACACACGTGCATACAGACACACACATACTTGCACATATACACAGATGCACATGCGCACACACGCACATTCGCACACACAGATGCACACAGGCGCGCACACATTTGCACACCGCATGTGCACATTCACACACTTGCACACGCACGTGGACACCGGCACACACACACATTTGCACACACAGGCACATTCACACACAGATGCACACTCGCGCACACACCTCTCTCGCTGTGGTCCACGAGGCCCATGCCCTGCCCCTCCCACCCTGTCCAGCTGATCTGTGCACAGAGGCTGTGCTCTCATGCCCCACTGGGGAGTCTGGGGAGGTGGGGAGCTCAGGAAGGGACTTTCCCGAGGCTCCGGCCACCACCACGCTGGCTGAGACCTGGCAGCCTGGGGGGGACGGGGACGGGGAGTGGGGGCTCCTTTCTTCAGGACGGGGATGTGGCCAAGGTCAGCTCTGAGAAGCGGCTCCCTGTCAACAGCCCAGAGTGCCACTCACGCCGCTCACTTTGAACAGAGGGGTGCTGGCTCACCCCTCCAGACCACGCCTGCCCTGCCTGTCCTGCCGGGGCCCTGGGAAGTGACCTCTGCAGACTCTTGGCTCACCCAGCCTGGAGAGGCAGGCATGTGGGTCCCCCTCCCTGGGCCCCGGCCCTCCACAGCCGTGGCTGTCCTGGGGCCTGGACACCCCCTCTACGTGCCCTGCAGGCCTCCGGCCCTGGGGCTGCACTGTCCCCTCTGGGCTACAGAACCGGCCGGTCCCTCCTCGCCAGAGCACTTCAGCAAATGCCCTCTCTTCACCCTGAGTCTGCTGTCTGGCTGGCTTTGCTCTCCGCTCTCCCCAGACACTTTCCACACCTCCAGCTTCGATGACAGGCTCCCCCCATCCACTGACCTGCTCCCCAGTGACACCTGCAAATGCCCCTCCCTGACTCACTGAGCTGCACGGTTCTGCCCTCACGGGCATGAGAAGCCACCCTGGCTGGGAGAGGGCATCCCGCCTGGGGCCTCACGTCTGCCTGGACCAGCCCAGAGGGGTGAGACTAGGGGCCTGGCCTCAGTTTCTTCATTTGCAAACGGCCCGTTGGCCTGAACCAGAGGTGGGGCTTTGGGGCCGGAGGGCTGGTGCCTGGCGCCCTGCTGGATTACAGAAAATCGTTAACCTTCTACCACGGGGAGGGGCTGAAATGCTTGACCCCCGATTGCTTTTGTGTGTCGGGTGGTTGCTCGTCGAGAGCAGAGGCTTGGAAACCACTGACCGAAGGCGAGCGTTGGCATGAGGACACGTGTCAGGCCTCCTGTCCCGAGGGGGGACGGGCTGCAGGAACGTGGCCCCAAGTCCGACTCCGCTGTCCCCTCCCCGGGAGACATGACACAGTGGGAGCCCGTCTCGCCCCCGGTCTGAACGATCTCGGAAGCAACGCTCCAGGGCCCGGAAGCCACACGCGGTTCTGGAGGCTCCCACAGAGGCGGTCACTGATTCTGGGTGGCCCTTGCCCTGCGATGGACAGCGGGCGGACGCCAAACACAGCCCACCGAGCGTCCCCATCCCTCACCCTCTGCGAGGTGTCGTCCAGAGGGACCCTCAGAGAGCCTGGGAGGCCCCGCCGTGGCGCTAAGTTCCTCTCTCACTGGTGAGCTGCAGCCGGCCCCGCGGGGGACGATGACGCACACACGCCCTGGGCAAGACAGACGACGGCCACTGGCCGTCGCCCCGGCTGGGCCAGGGGGCGGCCGGCTGCCACGGGAGACCTCACCACAGCAGGGGCTCGTCCCTCGCGGCAGAGCAGGGCCGTCGCCCGGGGTCTGGATCTTCTAGAGGCTCCTAAGAGGTGCGGCTGTCTACACCTCCTGGGCCCCCACCCGGCGTCCGCGGGCCCAGCCCGGGCCTGACCTCTCTGCAGTTTTCTTACCAGCTTGCCCTCGGCGCCTGGGTCCTCCCGGCGGCCCGCTCACCCTCGCTCGCCCGTGTTCCCTCCCGCGGGCTGCCGGGTAGTCTCAGCAACTTGCTAAAGAGACGCCGAAAATAACCCCCGGCCACAAGTGCTTTCAGTGCCACAACAGCTGTGTTACTAACTTAGACCGCACACGTGTCCCCAGCTGAGGTTTGGGGGCACACACAAGCACCCCTGCGGCTCCCGCGGCCCTGCGCCCTGGGCGGGGGTCGTGCCGGGACGCGGAGCCCGCCAGCCCCTCTCCCCGGGGGTGTGGATCACGCGCCCCGGCAGCGCTGAGGCTCAGGGGACACGCTGGCCACCAGGGCCGGGCCAGGCGCGTCCCGCCACGGCAGCTAGGACGACAGCCTTGCGGGCCGTGAATAACGCACCCGGACATCCCGCCGCCTCTCGCTCAGAGCCTGCGGGCCGCGGGGGTCACACCAGGACCGTGCGGCCCGCTGCCGTAAAGTCGGGCCTGTCCCAACTGCAGCCACTCGCTGACAAATTCTGAGCGTGGCCCTCGAGCGCTTCCGGTCACGGGTGTCACCTGCGGCCGGAGACCCTGACAGAATGTCTGCTGGCCACCGAGCGCCCGGCGTGTTCGGGCCCCGTGCGAGCCCAGCAGCCCCTCGTGGCTCTGTGCGATTGCCCTTGGCGCTAGGTGCTGGGACGACAGATGGGGCCGTGTCACAGGTGGGGAAACTGAGGCACAGGTGGTAGTCCCTGCCCGGGTCACCCTGTCAGGAGAGGTGGGGGCCGGGGCCTGCCCTCGAGACGGCCGAGCTACTGACATGCTGTTGACATGTGACCTTCTCACAACGCTGGGCTCTGCCTAATTCACCCTGTTTTGTGGCTGCGGAAAAGGGAGCTCAGAGAGGCCGCCCGCCTGCCCGAGGCCACACAGCTCGTGAGGACAGGGCTGGCTGTGAACTTGGGTCTGCACCCTGCTCTCCTGTGCCGGCCCCCGGGCCCCTCTTCTCTGTGAGGGAGGCGGGACTAATGGACACAGCAGACGCAGTAAGGGGGCGTGTAGGCAGCGGGGTGAACCGCCGTGGCCTTCCCCGGGCAGAGGGTGCCGGGGTGAGGACCTCCCGAAGGCCAAGGTTTTTGTTATTTTACTTACAAAGACAGACCATAGACCATTTTAAGCAGCCATGAAAACGGCCGTGGGGCAGGGACATCGTGGGCCCGTCCTCTCGATCTGTAAGCAAAATAAGAAAAACACGCTGTCAGGAAAGCGCGGGCGGGTGGGCAGGGCTGCCCCGAGGGGCGCCCACGGTCGGCCCCTCCCCCTCTGCCTCTTGACAGCAGTTTTGGGGATCGGGACTCAGTCACCATCTCTGGGCCTCAGTTTCCTGCACCGTAAAGCCACGGGGTTGTTTGGGCGGGGGGGGGGGTCTCCTAGCGTCACTTCCAGAAGGACCTTCTAGAGGTCTACAAGAATTCTGGGGTCTCCATCGACATGGGTGGGACACCCTCGTTCCTAAAAAGCTCTCTTCCTGGAAGGTGCCCGGTAACCCCACTTGGCACCGTGTTCAAGGGACCTGAGTGCGTGCGCATAGGGCTTGAAGTCTCCATGGACAGACAGGCCAATGGTGGTTCTAAGACAAAGCCCGGGACTGAGCCACCCCGAAGGGAGGGGGCACCAAACAGGAAGAGATCTGAGCTGAAATTAGTAGGTGGAAGCTGCAAGAAGACAGGCTGTACCCAGACACAGAGTGAGCCCCCCGTCACCAGGGGTAATCGAGGACAGGATGGGCCTTTGAGGGTCCTCCCAGCTGCAGAGTAGCTGCTCGCATTCCTTCCCAGAGTTATCTCAGCCATCCTGACCACCTCCAGAGTTCAACCCCCAAATGAATCTGTGCCCAGGGCGGTCATCAAGGAAAACCACAGGCCTCAAGCCACGGTTCACCGCCAGTCTCCGGCTGGCTTGGCTCACGGGCTGGTCCTGGGGAAGCCGGGGGATCTCGGGGCAGGAATCCGTGGCTGAGCACAGAGGCTCCATCTCCACCAGGCAGGCGCATGATGCAGCTACCCACCTGCTCTCAGGGATTTGCATGTGTTAGGGAACAACTCTGAGGCCCCCCGAGGAGGCCAGAGACCCAGAAGCCCGACAACATTAACGTGCCGGCTTAGAAAAGAAAGAACCACTAGTCTCTGGTAACCTCCGTGCTCTAGATGAAGCCGGGACCTCCACTCCAGAAACGTGAGCCGGCGGTGCCCTTGGGGGAGGACAGAAAGGCCTTGGGCGAGCCCCTGAGCCACTCGCAGGCCCCAGCCCTCTCCCTGACCTGGAACATCTTGTTCCCAGACCCGTGCTTTCGGGAACACAGGTCCTGGACCAAGAAGGAAAGTAGGACGTGCCCTTGACACTCGGCGACCGGCTCAGAGCCCTGGGTCCGACCGGCAAACGGCCTGCTGACCTCTCTGGCTTGGACCCCGACCCTGGAGGCTGGGGTGGGCATTTCGGGCGGACGGCCCGGCGGTCTTATTTCTTGCAAGCCGCTGGTGGGGCGGTTACGTGCAGCGGGAGCCTCTCCTCGAGGCGACGGGGGTCAGGTAGACAGCTGGCCGGTGGCTGCGTGAGAGGAAGCCCAGCCGGGCCCTGGCCACCACGGCCGCCGCAGGCAGACCCCAGGCCTGGGCGCCACGGGCCGCCAGTGTGCAGCGCCGCCCCGCCCCCCCCACCCCCCCTGCCCGGGCAGGGGTGGGGGCCAGGGTTCATTTCAGTCTCCACCACTCATGGGGACCCTGGCTCAGACTTGGCCCCGTAGGAAGATGAGCTGGAACCTTCCGTGCCAAGGGAAGGTACAGCTCCTGTGTGAGCTGGGCTGTCCCCGCCCCGAGGCGGCACACCTGGGGCCCGTGCTATCGCTCCACCTGCCAGACCACAGGTGGAGACCTTAGAGAGGTCAGGAGACTGGCTCAAAGCCCTCATCCTACAAACAAGCGGCCAGGCCCGGCCCTGAACTTGCCTTTCCCGACTCCACGGCCAGCACCCTTCTCCAGATGCAGGCTGGGTCACTCCCAAGCCCTAAAGAACCCGGCTGCCTGGCCTCAAATGGCAGCACCAGTACCGTTCACGACCAGGGATAAAAGGAGCTGGGCCAGTCCCTGCGGTCTATCCTGGGCTCTGGGTGGGCAGGAGGGTGGCCTGAGGTCCCGGAGAAGCGGCTCTTGCCATCACGCTGGGGCACTGGAAGCTCCCTTCCTAGAGACGGGCTTCCCTTGGGTTTCTAAGTCTGGCAAAGCGTCCCCAGGCCTGGGGCTTTCTGGCCTCTGAATACAGGGGATCGGGTGGCATGTGTGGATTCTCTCCGCCGCGGGCACACTGCTAAGCCCCGGTCCCGGGGGCAGGAACGCTGAGCTCCCCCCGGCCCACGCCTGGGGTCTCCTTCCCAAATGCACGGGACCCCGAGGTCACAGTCACCCATTTTCTCACAAGGGAACAGGTCTCCGGTGGGGCGCGTGCACTGAGGAAGTCCCCCCGGAGACACTGTGTGCGCTGAGACGCTCGGCCCGGATCAGCCCGGGCCGGGGACACACGGCCCGAAGGTCGAGTCTGCCCACCTCAGCCCTGCGGCCGAGGCTCCGGCTGACCCCGGGTCCCGGCCACCCTCACACCCCGCTGCAGCCAGGCCGCGGAGCCCCCTGGCATCTGAGCCCAGGGCCACCTCTGACGAGCCCTCGAGTAAGGTGCTGTGTGACGGTAGGGCCCCCCCCCCCCCCGGCCCCGTCCCTCTCTGAGCTCCAAGCAGAACGGCCAACTTTGCTAAAACACTCACGATGTGCCGGCCGCTCGGTAAGAGCCTGTATCAACTCCCTTGTCCTCACAGCAGCTCCGTGACTCGGAGACTACAGCCAGCCCCGCTTTATGGATGGGGAACACCGGGTCCAGAGAGGCTAAGCAGCTCGCCCGAGGCCACACAGCCACCAAGTAGATGAGCTAGGATGTGAACCTCCAAGCGCAGGCTGTGAGCCACGGTGAGCTCCTCCCTCTCGAGGGCCCGACGGCGGGCGTTTGCGGTTCTGGGCAGAGGGCCTCGGGTCACGGCGGCGCTGGGAGCCCCCCAACAGCTCTGCACGGCCGGGGCCCCGTGGGCTTTTACTCACTTGTGTGCGGCGTGAAGGAGGGGAGCCGAGTGGCCCCCTGGGACGCGGCAGGCGGCGGGGGCGGCATGCTGGGAGGCGTGGAGCGGGGCTGACTCTTCACCTCGGCGGGAGAGTCGGGCATCGCTGCTGTCTCGTCCTTCGCGTCCACTGCGGAGGGGCCACCGGGGCCACGGGGGAGGGGAGAAGAAGGGAGACGCGGTGAAGCAGGCTGAGGGGAGGGGAGGAAGCCGCGCGGGGGTTGGGCCGCCGCCGCCGGGGGTCCGGGCCGACCCCCAGGCGCTCGCCAGGGCCCCCGGTCCTGCCCACAGAGCCGGGCCCGACTCCAGGGCGCAGACGAGCCCCAGCCGCGTTCTCAGGTGGCCGACATCCCACCCACCTGGGATCAGAGGTCAGGCTCGGGTCAGCCCACTTCAGGGGGGCTGGAGGGTGTGACGGGGAGAATCCCGGGTCAGCCGGAATGGGGCTGGCTGGGGTCCTCACTGGGGAGCTGGGGTCTACTGCCCCACGGCAGTAGGGGTTTTGCGTCACCCGCCCCCCTCCCGCCCCCACCGGGCAGCCGTGTGCGTCTCCTGGAGGGCGTCCGTCCCCATTTCTGATGCGGCAGGTCTGGGGAAAAGCCCACGAATCTGCGTTTCTAACGAGGTCCCAGGTGGGGGCTGCTGCAGGTGCGTGGGGCCCCTGGAAACCGTGGCTCCCAGAGCCCCATCAGCTCTCAGATGTGAAAAGTCTCGTGTAGAGGGGTCTCCCCAGGAAGGTCTGGGAGGCTGACCCCGTGGGGTGGAAAACCCCTCTGATACCATCTGCTGGCCTGGGTAGTTCCTGGGCCCGGCAGGCCAAGGGCACGGCCAACGTCAGGCTGTTCTAGGCCTGGCCGCTCAACGTGGGGGCCCCACACCAGTGGGCTGGGTGCCCCCGGACACTGTTGAGATTGCCACGTGCAGCTCTGCTGAGGGTCAGGTGCAGATGCCGCGAAACCGAGGCCCTGCCCCCCCCCCCTCCCCCGTCTGCCTTAACTCAGGTCAGCCAGTGCCTGGGCGGGTCAAAAAAGCTCGGAGCGGCGGCTGGGAGTCGGGGTGGCCCAGCCGCTCAAGGCCATCCGGGCCGGCGTCCTCTACCTGCTCCCGGGGCACAGCCCACGCTGCCCCAGCCGCTGCCCCGAGCTCACCCTGCTGACACCGAGGGGGTCTCGCCCGGGGCCGGGGCTCCGCAGCTGCGGGCCGTCTGTGCGTCGCCGCGTCTCGTGTCTCCTCTCCCAGGGGCCCCGCGGGACCAGGACCCACAGATGCACGCGCGCGTCCGGGGACAGCCAGCCTCCGGGGACGGAGATCAACAACACCGACGACGGCACTCACTGCCGTCCCGTGCCCGGCACGGCCCCGTCCCCAACCCCCCCTTCACAGAGCCGAGATGCCCGTGGCCCTCAGCGCCCGTGGGGCCATGACAGCCCTCTGCCCCGGGGCCCCGGGCCCCTCCCCGCCGGGCCCCCACGGGGCAGGGAGGCAATCGGTCAGCAGCAGCCGCCCCGGCCACGCGCACCTGCTGTCCACTCAGCTGCAGCCGCTGGCCTCCCTCCCGCCGGGCGCCCTGCCCCCTGCGCCCGCTGTCAGGGAGCTGACGGCCGCGCACACGTGCGCTGCAGCTGTGGGGGCCCGTCAACGCCGCCTGGCCGCGGGGCCGGCGGCCAGTCCCTGGTGACAACCAAAGAAGGCAAATGCAGCGGCCACCGCGGGCCCCGGGCCACCCTGCGGGGTGCAGACCCGCCCCCCCCCCCATCGTCTGACATGTCACCCGGGGCGGGGCCTGGGGGGATTCGGATGCCAGGCTGGGACATGGGGGACGCTGGGCCTGTTCCCACTCTCCAAAGCCCTTCCACGCCGGGGGCTTCATTTCGGCTTTGCCCACAGGAGAGGGTGGAGAGAACCCACCAGAGCCGCCCGCCCGCCCCTCACACGGCACCTGTTTATTACGAGCCGGGCCCTCGGGGGCTACCGTGGGTGCCAGGGGCCAGCACACCGGGTCACGTGGAGTCTCCCCCGCCTGTGAGCACCTGGCTCGTGGCCACACTTATCCCACGGACGCGCATCACGGAGGACGCACGCGAGCGCCCACGGCTTGCTCTCTGCGCCGGAGCCCGGGAGGCGGGGGGGCAGGGGGCGGCTGCCGGGGCCCCGGTTTACGGGCACAGAGACGTGCGGCGTCTGCCGAGGGCACACGGCGAGCGGGCTCGGTGTCACCACCACGCATCCTTCCAGAAGAGGCCGCAGGGGCGGGAGTGACAAGCACAGGGGCCTCGTGAGTCTCGCGAAGCTGGTTTGAGTCCCGGCTCTACTGCTCCCTGGCTGTGTGACCTGGGGCAAGCCCCTGCACCCCTCTGAGTCTCTCTGCTCCTCTACAGGCGGGGTAGCGGTCCACGCACACGAACGCTCGATGAAATTCGGCAAAGGGCTGTGGAGCAGCTGGTGAGCCAGGAGCCTGGTCTTCCTCTGAGGAAGGGCCCAGAACCGCGGCTTGTGTGACTTCCCACAGCCCTCAGAGGTTCTTGTCGTCTCCACTTTCCGGTGGGGAAGCCAAGGCACAGAGAGGCCCAGTGACCTGCTCGGCTCACACGGCAGAGTAGCGGTCCGGGTATGCCCCGGGCAGCTCATCTACCCGCCTGCAACCCGTGGTCCCTCCCTCTTCTGACTGCCCGTCCACCACCCCACGGGGGCTGTCTTTGTGGCGGCTCCCACCTTCCACGCTGGGGGGCCGGGGACCCGGTGCAGGTCCGGAAGCGCACGAGTCGGCTCACGCCTGGGCGTCCCAGCGAGCGGAACAGCCGAAGGCACAGCGAGCGGAGGCGCTGTGGCCCCCACCTCCAGCCTTGCCTCCCCCCCACCCCCCTTGAGAACATTCCCAGACCTCAGCCCGCACGCCACAGGCCCATGGGAGACCCTGTGTCTTTCCCAGACAGCGTATCCAGTCCCCGGCTGAATGTCTCTAATCCGTCCGCAGAGGAAGCAGCTCTCCGAGGCCGGGCGGAGCCGGTGGGAAAGAACGTGGAATGTGCCGGAACAAGCCACCCCATCCATCACTGTCCCTGTCCGGCTGTGGTTCCCAGCCCGCCCGGCCTGGCTGAGAACTGGCCACAACCCAGAGCTCCCAGCCCTGGGTTCTAGAACCTTCCTCTGCCTGCCTCAAGTCTGTATTGCTGCCAGAAGTAATAAGCCCCTGCTTTGATCATTTGGGTCTGATTTCTGCTGGTACCTCACCTGACCCTTACAAAGGTCATGAGAAACTAGGAAGGTGGGCAGGTAGCCTGCCTCAGGGCCTTTGCACCGGCAGGGACCGGTATTGACAGGTAGGTAACAAAGCCATGGTGATAAAGTCCTGAGTGCACGCTGGGCCTTGACCTGGGCACTTCACACGAATCACCTCAGCTCACCCCACAATAAACATATGAGGTGGGCAGGTGAGGAAACCCAGGCCGTCTGGCCCCAGAAACCAGTCTGTCCGTGGAGTCCTGGGACGTGCCCCCTGTCAGGACCAGGCAGGCCCGGCTTCAGGGCCCTGCCATCCCGGGATGCGGCCGCAGCCCAGGCCCCTCTCCTGGAACTGATGCACGGGGCGGAGGGGGGCCACAAAGGTTTGGAGCCCCTCTCGAGTTCCCAGGATGACAGAGAGGCCAGCCTCACAAGTAACAGAGCAGAAGCCTCTGCAGGGCTCCGGAAGCTCGGTGCAGGCCCCCTCACCCCCTCTGCAGAGGGCAGAACCCGGGGGTGCGGCAAAGACTCTGGGCACGCTGCCCCCCAGCCTCAGTGTCCACATCTGTACGTAGGGGTGTGGGACGAGTGCTAAGAATGCACCGCGATCTCGGTGGCTCGGTGGCTCTTTGCCGAAGCCAAAGGGAAACCCACGTTTGCCACCGGTGCCTATTTCCCCTTCGGTCACTCAAGCCCCCCCCGCCAAGGTCGTCCGGTCAAGACCAGCCTCACGGTGTGCTCCACGACCCGGTGAGGACCCGTCCTCACTGTCCCCGAAAGGTGAGGGCTCCACAGGGCAGGTGAGGGGCAGAGCCGGGGGCCGGACCTGTCCCTGAATTCCCAGCTTCTGCCCCTGGCCCGACAGCAGGCAATATTCTAAAACTCCAGCCAACGTAAACCCATACGCCTGCCTTTCTTGGGAACCACAGGGCCAAGACGTGTTCCCCAAGACTGTACAAAGTGGCTTCCCTGCCCCTCAGCCAGCACCCCGAGAGCGCCCATGGGCTCCTTCGTGCCTGGCCCGGCCCGTCTCCGCCCTTATCTCCCACGCCTCCCCTCTCCGAGTCTACTCAAGTGCTCCTACCTCAGGGCCTTTGCATGGACTGTTCCCTCTGCCAGGGAGTTTTTCCCCCAGATACCTTCATGGTATCGTGAGCTCACCTCCCCTGCATCTTTGCCCAAAGGCAACCTTCTCTCTCAGTGAGGCCGAGTGTCCAGAACCGCGCTGGGCACACGGTAGGTGCTCTGTACGTACTCGAATTACCACCAGGAGAATCCGGGGGGGAGCAGTTCGTGACGGCAGCCTCCGCGCCTCACCCGCTCCCTTCCAGCAGGTGTGAGTCCTGGCCCCCTGCGTGTCTGCCCCGCTGGAGGGTCTGGAGCCCAGCCTGCCCCGGGGAGAGCCCGGGGATGCCTCGAGGGGAGCGCGCAGCACCCCGCGAGAGCTGGGCAGCTCCGAGGGAAGAGCAGGGGCCTGTCCCCTGCAGACCCTCCAGCCGCCCCTTCGGGCAGCCCCACCCCGGAGCGGGGTAGCTCTGCCTGTCAGAAGCCCCTGGTCTGTCCGTCCGGGCTGGGCCTGGGCTTCCGGAACCCAGAGCGCGGGTGGTGAGTGCGCCCTCCTCACACGCCTGCCCTCGAGGAGGACATCCCTATCGCCCACTTTCCAGTGGGGACACTGAGGCCCAGCGTCACACAGCAAGGGAGGCGCCCCACAGGGACCCGCAGTGGCTCCCTACTTCCTTCCCTGTGGGGGTCAAGCTGCCGTGTGGCGTTCGGGGCCACACACGATCGTGCCCCAGCTGCCGCGTAGCCACGTCCCCACCGCCCTCAGCACCCGCAGCTCCGCGCACCGGAAAGACGAGGAGACGGAAGGCGGGAGGCCAGGGCTCCACCTGTCCCTCCTCTCTC